CAGCCCGGCCTCCGGCTGCAGCGCCACCGTGAGCCTCGTCGCGCGCTCGGCTGCCAACGGCGGCCAGTGGGTCGACAACGGCGCCACGTTCCAGATCTTCGACATCACCATCACCAACAACGGCCAGCGTGCCCTGAACGGCGGCGTGGCGACCTTCACCCTGGCCGAGGCCGGCGCTACGATCACCCAGTTCTGGGAGCTGAACAGGCAGGGCGCGACCAACGCCTTCAACGTGGCCTTCAACTACGGCGCGCTCCAGGCCGGAGCCACCCAGGGCGCCGGCATCGTGGTGCGTCTCGCCGGCTCGTCGGCTGCCGCCAAGCCCACCGTCACCCTCGGCTCTCTCGGCTGCCAGTAAGCCCAATGCTCTCTTTCTCTCTCACTCTTCTCTTTCTTCGTATATTGAGGTGGCGATGCCCACACTCACGGCCAGGCGTATGGCCTGGCTGCCAAGTTTGTGACCATTTTTACAATGAAAAAAGATAAAAGCAAAGAATTGTTAAAACAACATTTCCTTCTGCGAATTTATTGTGCTTGGCATTTCTCGGGAGCTTTTTCTGTTTGTCGGACCAATGGCCAACATCCGACCCAACAATTTATATTATCGGGCTCGAGACCCAGCTACATAACTCCTCCACAGACTCTAAGTCCATCCTCCAACAACACGACAATGGCGAGCAGCAAGCAGTGCACCCTCTTGGTTCTCTTCGTGGCCCTCCTGGCTGTCTTCGCCTTCGCCGACGAGGCCCCTGGGACCAGCGATGCTGCTCCCGTGACCCCCTCCACCACCGCCGAGGATTCGCCCGTTGAGGCCTCCGCCTACTGTTCTCTGTACACGAGCTGCAGCACCTGCTCGGTAAATTCATCATTCTATGTTGATGATGACAGCTTGTTTCTCGTAGTGACTGGAGGATTGACCTGATTGTCTTCATCATCATCATTGTCGGGCACAGGGTTCGTGCGGTTGGTGCGGTGACAGCGATACTACGGGCTACTGCACGGACTGCGTCAGCGGCAGCAGCAACTGCAACAAGCCGGCCTCGTGCACCTACAAGTACTGGACCCACAACATCTGCCCCAGCGTATGTTCGCCAACTCCTTCACCACTACATCCTCATCTTCATCTTCATTGTTTTATTGATGTCTTGTCCATCTTTCCAGGACGTGGACGCGTTGGTGCTCGGCGTGGGTGCCATAATCGGCATCATCGTGGCCTCCGTCGTTGGTTTCTGCTGCCTGGTGGCCATCGTCGCCGGCCTCATCTTTTGCCTCTGCTGTCGCCCGCGCCACAGCACCTACGTCATCGCCGGCCAGCCGCAGGTGCACCACGTTCACCACGAGCAGCCCATCCTGCACCACCAGCACCATGGCTACAGCCAGCCCGGCAAGCACTACAACGCTGTCTAGACTCTGTGATATGGCTTTCCATGTACATAAAGGCGAACGACTTGCCTTGTTGCAACAAACAGTGTCCACGCCCCACATGAACGTGGGCGCTCGAGCTGACATACGTGTTGTGCTGCTGCGTTTTGACAACACGTGTTGTACATATTCTACTGAACCACTCCGTTGTACATAACATATCACATGCTCTTCAAGAGTTTGCTCTTGCCCAGCGTCCACTACTTGCCGCCCCTGCCCCGACCTCCGCCCGCCTTTCCACCACGACCTTACAGCAGGTGTGTGCGGTGGCGCAGTGAGTGCTGTGTGCCAGGCGTTAGAGGGGTGGTGGGCGGTAGTACCTCGTTGCGCGGCAGCGGCGGCAATGTTGCCCATGGCCATCATGCCCATGCCGCCCATGCCGCCCATGCCAGAGGAGGCCGCCATGCGCTTGACGCGCTCGGCCTTCTCCTTCCGCTCCCGCTCCTCGCGCTCTTCGTCGGTCTCCTCCTGGGCCTCCTTGCTCTGCGTCTCCCCGAGCTCCCTGTCCCGCTTCTCCTCCAGCAGCTTCGCCGCGTTCTGCGTCTTGTGGGCGCGCTTCGGCACCGCCCGGTTGGCCGTCGGCTGCACAGCGGGACACGCAGAGGCGTACAGAAGTGAGCCCGCCTGCGTCGAGTCGATTCAATTACCAGGCGACAGCCAGGGAAGACCACGTACGTGCGAGAGCTTGGGCGCAGTGGACTGGTTCGCATCAATGGCGGCTCCGATGATGCTGCCCCTCGGCTCTGCGCACGCGATAAAGTGGTCGTGTGAGAACAAGACTCGGCCTCAAGAGAAGATGGTGTGTTGGTGGTGCGTACCGCCACCGGCGGTGGTGACTGCTCGGCGGCGGGTCCCGCCATCGCCTTCGGGGGTGGGTGCGGGCTGCTTGGCAGTGGCGGCTAGGGCGGCCTTGAGTTCCTCGACCTGACTGGCCAGCCGCGCGTTCTCTAATTCGAGCTTGGCCTTGTCCTCGGCCGACGCAGCGCCGTTACTGGCCGTCGTCTGCGCAGCAGCGGCAGCCGACTTGAGCGCGTCGAGCTGGGCCAGCAACTGCTGCTTCTCGGCCTCGGCCTTGCGCAGCAGCTCGTCCTTGGCCTGGAGCTCCTGCTGCTGGGCCTGAGCCTGGGCCGTGCCGGCCGTCTGTGCCTGCCGGGCGCTCTTGAGCTCGGCCACCTCCTTGTGCAGGTCCTCCCGCGTCTTGACGCTCTCGGCCTCGACCGACTTGAGCTGGGCCTTGAGCGCATCAAGCTCGCGCTGCAGCTCCTTCTCGCGGGCCTGGGCCGCGGCCACGGCCGCGTCGGCCTTCTTGCCGGCGTCGCCCGCCTGGGCGGCCCCGGCCTTTTCCGCGTCGGCCAGCCGGGCCTCGAGCTGCTTGAGCTTGGCCGCGAGCTGGGCCGCGCCCTCCTCGGCCGCCTTCTTCTCGCCCTGCGCGGCCGCCTTCTCCTTCTCGAGCGCCGCCACCTTGTCGGTGAGCGTGTCGAGCTTGCCGGCGGCGTCAGCCTTCAGGTCCTGCGCGGCCTTGTCGCGTGCGCGCTCGGCGTTACGCGCCGCCTCGCGCAGCTGGACCACCTGGGCCTCGAGCTCGGCCTGGTCCTTGAGCAGGCCGGCCTTCTCCTTCTCGAACTTGGCCGCCAGGGCCTTGACCTGCGCCTCGTGCTGCTTGGCGACGTCGTCGCTCGTGGCGGCCTTGCTGGTGACCGCGAGCCTGAGCTTGTCCTCGAGCGTGCGCACGTCCTCTTCGAGCTCCTCCTTGTCGACCTGCAGCAGCTTCTTCTCCTTCTCGAGCTTGGCGTGGGCCAGTCGGAGGTCCTCGAGGTCCTCGTCGAGCCTGGCCACCTCGTCGCCCAGCTGCTTGGCCTTGGCGTCGGCCTCCCTGGCCCGGTCGCCCTCCTTCCTGAGCTTGTCGGTCAGCTGCGCCACCTCGGCGTTCAGCGCGTCCGACGCCCCGCTCGCCGAACTGAGCCCGGCCTTGTACTTCTTCTCCCAGTCTGCATTGGCCCGATCGTTGGTCGTGTGTGCGATGTGTGCGTATGTGCGACGTGCGCGATGGCGGTGTGTGCGGTGCGTGTCGTGTTGCAACGCATGAAGGTGGTACCTTTGGCAAGATGGTCGGCTTTGAGGCCCTGCTCTTCGGCCTTTTCTCTGCGGGTTCGCTCGGCGTCGACTTCGCGCTTGAGCTTCTCCGCCTGCGCGCGAGCCTCCTCAAGCTCCCGGGCGACATTCTTCTCGCGCACCGACGTCGCGCGCTGCTCGCGGCTCTGCGTCTCCTCCTGCTTGCTCTCGAGCTCGGCCAACAGGTCCTTGAGCCGCCGCACCTCGCGCTCCTTCTCGTCCTTCTCCCGCCGCTCGGTCTCGCAGCGCTTCTCGAGCTCTCGCACCCTGCGCTCGGCCTCGACCTCGGCGTTGACCGCGGCAGGGGCACCACCACGGCTGCTGCCGCCGCGGCTCTGCAGCTCGGCCGTCTTGCGGTGGGCGTCGTCGAGCTCGTGCTCCAGGCGCTTGACCTCCCGCTCGAGATCGGTGCGCCGCTGCTTCTCGGCCTCGGCCCGGCGCTCGCAGTCCTTGAGCTCGCGCTGCAGCCGGTCCCGCTCCCTGTGCACCTTGTCGCTCTCCCTCTCCAGCGTCTCGCGCTCCCTGTAAATGGGTCAGCGTGACGTCAGCGCAGTCACCTTAACCAAACTTGGACTCACTTTAAAGTGGCGGTACCTGGTGAGTTCGTCGATGCGGGCGTTGGCGGACTCCTCCTTGACGGCGGCGTGGCCGAGGCGGACCTCGAGCGACTCCTTCTCGCGCAGGACCTTGCGGAGGTACTCCTCGTCCATCGTCGCGCGCTGGGCCGAGTCGCGCTCCTCGCGCTGGCTCTTGGAGCGGGTGTGAAGGTCCTCGAGCTGGCCCCGCACCACGCGCAGCTCCTCCTCGAGCCGCCGCCGCCCGTCGCGCTCCTCCTTCTTGTCGAGCTCGGCCCGCTCGTACTGCTCCCGCACGAACTTGAGCTCCGACTGGAGCTTGTTCGCGCTGCGCTGCGCCGTGGCGTACTCGTGCTCGAGCTCGGTCACCCGCGCCGCCACCACGTCCAGCTTGTGCACCTCCGACTCCAGCCGAGCCCGCGCTGCATTGACGACGACGATTGAAGTGAGGAAGTCAATTGACAATGTGTGCGGTGGTGCGTGTGCGTGTGTGTGTGTGTGTGCGGTGGGGTGTGTACCATCCAGGAGTCGACTGACGTGGTCCTTGGCGTCCTTGAGATCGCGCTCGAGCTTCAGGCGCTCATTGGAGGACTGCGCGTAGGTCCGGCGCAGTTCGGAGTCGACCGCGTCCTTCTCCGTCTGCAGCGCGTCCCTGGCGTTGCGCTCGTACTGCAGCATCTCGTTGGCCTGCTCCAATCGGCGCTGCAGCGTGCTCTGCACTCGCTCGAGCCGCGCCTCGGCTACAAACCCAGAGACTCGTCAGGTCAATACCGCAACACACAACGTATGTTCTTCAATACAAAAGAGGAGTAGTACCGCGCTGGCGATGTTCGTCGAGGAGGCGCTTGAGTTCGGTGGCCTCGTGTTGGTGGCGGCGAGCGTAGTCGTCGGCCTGGCGCTGGAGCCGGCCCAGCGCGGCCCGCACCGCGGCCAGCTCGCGCTCGCGCTCCTCCA